AGGAGCCCACCAGCAGGATCAGCACAAAACGGGCCTGAGGAGGAGAAACAGCTCAGGACTGGCCACAGCAGGGACAGGCTGGCACCAGGCTGGCACCAGGCTGGCACCTGGAGCCCAGCTGGGCACACACAGCGACAGCAAAACCTTCACTGAGACTGGTTCTGAGCTCCTTTGGAGCAAAGCCTTTCCCACTGGGGACAGGGGAATGCTGGACTTGTAGAGTTATCAATGCTGGACCTGTAGAATTCCAAGAAACACAGGTTTGTGTCTGTTTGTATCCACTCTGCTGGAATTAACACTCCAATTTCCTGCTTTAAGGATGGCTCAAGTGGCAAAACATCCTTCAGAGTTATAATGATATGAAAATATTTCTTATTCTGGCTCAGGAAGCAGAGTTACAGTAATCCAAGTTACAGTTAGAGTAGTAAAAAAACCCTTAAAATCACTTTTCACATTTATAGCAGGTTTTACTTTGAAGTTCTTGTTTAATATTTAAACTGATGACTTGGCTGTGCATCTTAAAAGTAACCTGCATTTCTCTGATGCCTTTTCCTTATTGGCCCCACCAAGCCAGCCTGCTGCAGCTGAAGTGTGTTTAACTGATAAATAAACTGAGCTGCCAAAGCTGCTTTGCTCCCTCTCCCTTGCTTGGCTGCCACCTCTCCTGCTGAAGAGTAATTTTTGGATGACTTCACAGCTTTTTGATTAATATGTGATAAAAAGAAAGCACTTCCTGGAAGCACAGCAAGAGGGAATTTAACTACAAACCTTAGTAAGGCCTAGAATAAAATCCTTTAAAAAATTTTTACTGCTATGAAATGCAAACAAGAAACATGATTGCATCTTTTTGTTTGCTTGCAGGCTCCCATAAATCCCATAAATCCCATTTAGGAGCAGTGGGTAATGGCTGTGCTCACAGCCTGGGGCTCCTCTTGCAGCCTAGGCTGGACTGAAGTGACTTCAGGCAGACATTCCACACAGGGAAAGGACACATTCCACTCCTTGACATTTCTGCTATTTGTGGGTGCTGCCACAAGGAAACTCAGGGATCAGCTCAGAGAAGGTTTGTGCAGCAGGGATAATTCAGCCTGATTCTCTGTTATCAGTAACAAAAATATGTCAATATATGAGAAAGACAAAAATACAAAAATAAATACCAAAAAACACCCCAAAATAAAAATTTTGCATTTAAAATACAAAGAAATTAAATACAAAAAAATACAAATAAATATAAAAATACCTGAATATATCATATTTCTGTATACTATATATGAGATATAATAATAGATATAGGTGCAAATAATACATAAAGAAATAATAATATACAATAAACAAAACCCTATAAATGTCATATATAAACATAATATAAAACACACCATGCCTATAATAAAACAGATAGATAAAATATATATTGTATTATATGAATATCATATTATAGTTCTCAGATCATATATGAATATAATACATAGATATGATAAATATCATAATTATCATATATAAAATAGTATATATAATACATATAGTAGTATATGGTATATATAATAGTATATGGTATGTATATATAATAGTATATAGTATATAGAATGGTATATAGTATATATAATGGTATATAGTATATATAATAGTATATACAATAAAATAATATAATGCCTATTAATAATAATTACTATAGAATAATAATAATATATCAAAATTACTTATATCTTATATATACACATTTTTATAGTTATATTTGTTTATATTTCAATATAAATATTTATCTATTTTAAATATATGTTTATAAATACGTATGTATAGATTTTAATATAAATATTTCTATTTTTATATTATATATTTTATATATATTTATTTATATTTTATCTATATATTTATATTTATATATAAATAATTTATAAATAATTATTTCTATTTATTATTGGAGAAGCTGAGCACAGAACTGTCAGCAGCACTGACCAGGAGCGGCGGCTTCTGCCCAGCAGGGAGCAGCGCGAAGTTGATGGCGGAGCGCAGCATCAGCAGCAGGACGGAGAGCACGAACACCACGAGCTCCTGGCGGTTCTCCTGCAGGATGCCCCTGCTCACGTAGTACACACAGAACACTGCGGAGAGGGGATGGCAGTGCCACTGCAAAGGGACACGGCTCCCAGCTCCGCAGCCCCAGGCTGGCCCTGAGGCTCCCCGGCCTGGCTCCCACCAGGGGGCTTCAGTCAGGTCAGTCAAACACTCCCTGATGGGTTTAGCACGTAAGAAACTAAATAATTAGAGAGATTTTGGAATTATTTGTGAAGTAGCACTGTCAAAATGGCAGTGTATCATCCAAACTGGCATTATTACTACTACTAGTAGTAGTAATACTACTACATTATTATTATTACTACTAGTAGTAGTAGTAATAATAACCAAAAAAATTACTACTAGTAGTAATAATAACCAAAAAAATTACTACTAGTAGTAATAATAACCAAAAAATTACTACTAGTAGTAATAATAACAAAAAATTACTACTAGTAGTAATAATAACAATGATGATGTGATTCAGCAGCAGTAGTAATAATATAACAATAATAGCAACAACAGCAATAACAATAACAATAATAATAACAATAATAATAATGATGATGATTTTGTGATTAAGCTGCAACTCAAATTTCTTATATAAGAGATACTGGATGTTCAGCTATTCCACAAAACCTCACCAGACATTCTATGAATACCTCACTGAATAATATATCCAGTTGTTTATTTGAATTCAATAAAACAGCACCATTTATATTAAAGCAATTAAATTAAATTGTCTTCCCAGGGTAATTCAGGTGACTCAAAAGCAGTTTATTACTCACACAAGTGCTGCCTGTGGTCTGGATTCAGTTTATTTAATCGTGGAAATTTTTAAACAACCCCACCCTGCAAACTGCAATCCAAAAAAGAACTGGGTCAGGACAGGTCTGAGGAAGCTTGGCCTGTGGACACCTGAATTCCCAGGGTATCATGGCTCAGACATTAAAATAGGAACTGGTGAATTTGTCTGGAATAGCTCAACATCCAGTATCTGTTATATAAGAAAGTGGAGTTGCTGCTTAATCACAACAACAACAATATTTTTATTATTATTATTTTTGTTATTATTATTATATTTTCATTCCTTTAATTATTATTTTTATTGACATTTTCATTATTTTCATTATTTCCTCCACCCAAACTGGGTTTCTTACCAGCTCCAACCAGCTGAATGAAGGAAATGGTGAAGTCCTCCTCAGTCTGGCGCACCAGGGTCTCGATGGTCAGCCCTATGACACTCAGCAGGGACAAAATAGTGACACAGAAGTAGATCTTCACAGGGAATGAGAGCTCTGAGCATGGTTTTATCTGCAAAAGGAGAACGTTCTTTGTCACATCACGCAGAATAAATTTGCTGTTGTTCCTGAAAATCACACTGAGGCGAGTGGGGTAAATGAGACAGGGCTGGGTTTACTTTGGGAAAAGGAAGAGAAACTTCACTATTGGGCTGAGACTCCCAAACTGCTGAGGAAGGGAGAAGTTTGACTTTATTTCATAATTAATTTCAGCCCAGATAGTCCTGCTTTATACCCACAGCCTTTGTGCCTCACAAGGCCATGGTGTTACAACCCAAGACATGGACATTGCCCACATACACACCTGTCAGAGCATGGAAATAACATTTTCCCACACTTTCAGCTTTAGAAAACTGTAAAGACAGGGTCAGCTTTCTCAGGAAGGCAAAGTCCTTCTCTTCTTTCATTCAAATACTTCAGGTGGAGCAGGATCCCGGCAGGAATTTCACACTTGGTGCGTTCAGCTGGAGGAGACAGGGGGACCCCAGGGGCTGCAGGGACAGCTCTGCTCTCTGCTCCAGGCCAGGGACGCCCCTGGGAACCCCTGGAGCTGGGCCAGGGGAGTTGGGTTGGAGTTTGGGAAAGGTTCATCCCCCAGAGGGTGCTGGCACTGCCCAGGCTCCCCAGGAATGGGCCCGAGGGTGCCAGAGCTGCAGGAACTGCCAGGGGTGCCCAGGGTGGGATTTTGGGGTGTCCCTGACAGGGCCAGGAGCTGATCAATGATCCTGAGGGTCCCAGGAGCTGCCAGGGGTGCCCAGGGTGGGATTTTGGGGTGTGTGAGCAGGGCCAGGAGCTGATCAATGATCCTGAGGGTCCCAGGAGCTGCCAGGGGTGCCCAGGGTGGGATTTTGGGGTGTGTGAGCGGGGCCAGGAGCTGATCAGTGATCCTGAGGGTCCCAGGAGCTGCCAGGGGTGCCCAGGGTGGGATTTTGGGGTGTCCCTGACAGGGCCAGGAGCTGATCAATGATCCTGAGGGTCCCAGGAGCTGCCAGGGGTGCCCAGGGTGGGATTTTGGGGTGTGTGAGCAGGGCCAGGAGCTGATCAGTGATCCTGAGGGTCCCTTCCAGCTCAGGACACTCCACAGCGCTGTCAGCACAGCTGTGCCAGCCTCGGCGAGCTGACTCCCCTGCTCCACCCGACTCCTTACGCGGATTTAAGCAGTGTTTATTCACACCCCCCCGGGGCACAGAAACGCGGATGACACCAGCAAAGCCGCCCGGAGCAGCAGCAGAGATGTACTCACGGGTCCGCAGGGCGTGGGGATGAGCTGCCGGTGCCGCGGGGTGAGGTTGGGCAGGCTCGGCCCCGCCGCAGCCGCGGCGCCGCTGTGGGAGAGAGAGCGGGGCCGTCAGGGGGCCGTACCACCCCCACCGCGGGGGGGCCCCGTCCGCGGCCCCCATCCCCAGCACGGGCGCCTCAAGGGGGAGCGCGGGGAGGCGCCCCCGCGCCGCGCGTGGTGCGGCCCGGCCCGCCCGTACCTGCCGTCCATAGCGGCAGCCGCGCCTCGCGTCCCGCCCCGGCCGCGGGTCCTACATGGCTGCGGAGGGGTCCCGGCGGCGCTTCCGGGGCCGGCCCGCTCCGCGTCACTTCCCCGGCACGGGCGGGAAGCGCAGCTGGGCTCCTCCCGGGCGGCGGGGCCGCC